GTGATATCACCCACCCCTACTCTATAAAATACATTTTAAAAAATATTTCATTTCAGTTAAGATTTATTTATTTTATTTTAAGTAACATTTTTTTTATAAGGTTTTAGTTAACCTTAATAATCCTGCTTATAGTAGTTTGCTTGGTTATGTATTATGTGTGAACTCAAACTTGGATTTTATATGCATGCATTTAGAATGTGATAAATCAAAAGGTTATTGAACAGCTTGTAGAACTGTCACTTCCTGCTCTACGGTAAGTGATACAAGTTTTCTGTGAGATTTGGGTTCAACAACTTTGGGTTCGGGGGGCTCAGACCACCGACATGTGTTTCTCTCTCCAGTGGATGACCCTAGACTGATCCACACAGCATCTGTGCACCAGCAAATGAGCTAACAGGAACATTTAATCTGCCCTAGATGCGTTTATTTCCTGTTTTGTGTTATCTTGATCTTTAGGCCCAGTAGTTGATAATGTCTTGATGTTGTTTACTTGTCGTCAGTGTCCTTGATTTTTTTTAATCTTTTTTTTTTATTATTTTAGGCTAGTATTCGTTTTTTGTGATATTGACACTGGTGACAAGAATGACAATGAAATTTCAATGGTATCAAAAATGTTGATATCATAAAGACCTTATTTAAAGCAAAAATAAATTTCATGATATATATCATTACTCAATAAAATTACTCATATTGTGATATAAGATTTTGGTGATATCACCCACCCCTACTCTATAAAATACATTTTAAAAAATATTTCATTTCAGTTAAGATTTATTTATTTTATTTTAAGTAACATTTTTTTTATAAGGTTTTAGTTAACCTTAATAATCCTGCTTATAGTAGTTTGCTTGGTTATGTATTATGTGTGAACTCAAACTTGGATTTTATATGCATGCATTTAGAATGTGATAAATCAAAAGGTTATTGAACAGCTTGTAGAACTGTCACTTCCTGCTCTACGGTAAGTGATACAAGTTTTCTGTGAGATTTGGGTTCAACAACTTTGGGTTCGGGGGGCTCAGACCACCGACATGTGTTTCTCTCTCCAGTGGATGACCCTAGACTGATCCACACAGCATCTGTGCACCAGCAAATGAGCTAACAGGAACATTTAATCTGCCCTAGATGCGTTTATTTCCTGTTTTGTGTTATCTTGATCTTTAGGCCCAGTAGTTGATAATGTCTTGATGTTGATGATGTTCTTCATAAAATAAAATTGTGTGAATGGTTGAAGGTGAGGTGTGTCTCTGTGTTTGAGTCCTGCTGCAAACTCACACTGTTGGTTGAGAGAACTTGAGACAATCTTGTCATTTGTGGCCCAACTGGGCATTTCAAATGGGTTGTATTTTTGTTTGCAGCAGTAGAAATGGCAAATAAGATGTTTTTAACAAATTTTGTTTTACAACCCAGTACAATGCTAAATAGAACAATTCTGTTTGCTGTTAAAGGAATAATAGTTCACTCAAACATGAACATCCTGATATTATTTACTTAGTTTTTTAAGGGAATGCATGAACTAATAAATGACATACCATGAGATGCAATGTATCTGTGCATACTGTAAATGCATGAATGTAAATATGAACCTGATACATCATGACGTCACACACCATTGTTTCTCATGTTCTTTGTGACTGTGCCAGGTTTGGATGTGTGCAATCTGAGCTTTGTTATGCCGCTGTTTTGTCCTTTTTTGGAGCTTGACAGCCTTTGGTCAGTGTCTACATTTGCTGTATTGAAAAGTACATCATAGACATTTACCGTTTGTGAAACTCATGGTTTCAAAATGACTAGAGGGGGCGCAAAATGTTGAACTATCTTTTTAAAGTTGTGTAATATCAATTGTTTCTCATGTTCTTTGTGACTGCCAGGTTTGGATGTGTGCAATCTGAGCTTTGTTATGCCCTGTTTTGTCCTTTTTTGGAGCTTGACAGCCTTTGGTCAGTGTCTACATTTGCTGTATTGAAAAGTACATCATAGACATTTACCGTTTGTGAAACTCATGGTTTCAAAATGACTAGAGGGGGCGCAAAATGTTGAACTATCTTTTTAAAGTTGTGTAATATCATGTTAAGTTATGTAATAAACAAAAGGTTGTTTTGGTAATTTTAATTATCCTACTTTTTTGAAAGGTCAAACCTTTCCTCTGAAGGCATGAAAATGTGTTTAGATAATTTACTTGAGAAATGTGGAACATAAGAAAACCATTGCAGAGCGTTTTATGTAAGGGCTGTTTGTCACACTCGTGATGTTTGAATTCACATGGCCTCATTTAATCTCAAATTGCATTATGATGAAGGCTGTTCCTCCTCAGAATAACATTTGACCAGTCAGTTGATTTTAATTCACCCTATGCCCATACTTTCCACTTTTCTGCTTTGGGGCATGAGCTGCCCAAAATGGCTGGAAAATCTACATTTTTTTATCTTTTTAAATAGTCCTGAATGTTAGAATGTCACAAAATGGTTCACTCCCATTGCTCCCAAATTAGCAGGCTTTTCTCTAAATGCTGTTACATAATCCATTTGCCATGGCTGTAAGTTTGACTACAGATGTCAACACGAAATCTGCTTTTACAGTTTAACGTAATGTATTGTGCCTATATTTTAAAGTATTCACATTGACTGAGGTTCAAACAGATTCTAAATGAGGAGTTTGTGTTTGATGTATCTTTTACAGTAGCTTATGTCCCATGGTTTTGTATTAAAAAAGACTTTAAATAAATCTGTAATTGAATGTAAATGATATTTATTAATAATTTCTGTCATCCTTCTATTATTTATATCTTCGCTATGAAATTTTGACATATTGGTTAAGGTTAAATTCAGTTTAGCACATTACTACAACTAAAACAGTTTTAAAATAATGAAATAATTACAAAGAATGGCAAGAAACAAATTGATTTAAGCATGACAGTTTGAAGTAAGAAAACTGAAATACTATTTTCTTATAAAACACTCCAGTGATCTTTGTTTTATTTGCAACTTCAAAATATTATTATTATTTTTTACAGTGTATTAGTTACACTAAAAGCAGAGCTTCCAGATGAACTGGTTGCTGGATGCCTTTTAACATTTATTAGTTGAAAAGTCGTAAAGTTGTGTTGTTCGGAGACCTTTATTTAATTTTCTCATTTCAATGAATTACAAATCCTACATCTTTATATAGTGCTGCATGTGGATTCACAATTAGATTAAGATGAGAGTTTTGGCTGGGCTTTTGTAAGACATTCACCTTCATTGTTCTTGAGCCACACCAGTGTTTATTTTACCTTGTGTTTGGAATTACTGAAAGAACTTTCGTTCCCAGCATACAGAAGGAGATGTCCAAACTCTGCCATCGGAAAGCAACTCAACACCATTATATTTCAACCGTCATGCTTCACTATTGGTTCTTTGAAAGGTGAGTAGTATTAAATCTGAGCCACATGTGTATGTGGCCACAATTATGCACACCCCTTTATAATTAACAGGTTTGCCTATTCCTGTCAAGGCAAATTTTAATGCTGTATATACTGTAATACTAGAAAATTCTATGCTTTCAATATTGCTGAAGCAGAAAGGCCCTTCCTACGTTATTGAGACTGTTGTGGGGGAAATTACTGGCATGCACTTCTTCAGATCACACCTGCACAACTGCAAGCCAGGACTCCTTACTGACGCTCTTGAGTCTGAATTGGTGCAAATGCCTGAATTTGCATGTTCCTTGTTCAATCAATGTTTAAGATTTAGTTAAAGGCCTTCCCAGAAGAGTTTACCCTTTTATAGGGAGTGATTCATGCTTTTTGAACATAAAATGACCCTCTTCAAACTTTTGCAACAAGGTTGGAAGCACAGAATTCTCTAGAATGCCATTAATATTTGTCTCACTGAAATCACTGGAATAGGCAAAACTGTTCATTGGAATTACCTGTTATTTAGGGAGTATCCACATACTTATATCCACATACTCATTTATGTCATTTCATAATTAATTTATATGACTAGGTGAGCCATGTGAATTGAATTTCTGACCTTTCTTGACCTTTGTTTTAGTGTTCTGTTCTGAATTGGATTTAATGTTTAAAGGTCACATATTTTACACCTTTCTGGAGTTTTATTTTAGGTTTTGATGTCCTTAAGAATATATATTTGCCGTATAAGTACCAAAAACCATCTCAATATATTTTTACAGCTCTCAGGAGCTCTGCTGAGAACAGGTCGATTTTGGCCTGTCTAATTAATATTCATGAGCCTCTCTTCTGACTGGCCTGTTGTTTTCTGAGTGACGCACGGTCAGGCCAACCAGAGGTAACTAGGTTCATGTATGCGAAACTGGAGGCGGCCCATTCAAACCAGCGCAGATTCGGCTACACAAGGAGCTTAAAAAATCATCTTGTTGTGATGTTGGGTGCCAGAATCGATGTAATACAGCCTCAAATTAGAAATTTGATCGCATATCTGCTGCCACTGCCAGACAAAAAACCGACGACAGCTGTGGCTAAACGCGATAAAACGAGCGAACTGGACAGAAATGATCGTCAAAAATGCTCGTGTTTGCAGAGCACACTTCTTATCAGAAAAGGTTAAATAAAGTATTGTCTTTTGTTGTTATGGGCGCGTCTACAGATTCCTTGCCATATGTCTATACCTCAGTTATCATGAACAAAGCCAGGAAATTTCAGTTTTGACAATATGGGACCTTTAAATGACATTAAAATAATAAACCATTTGACAGTTTAACTGCTTTAAATGTAAATATTTTATCATAAAATACATTGTTTTGGAGTATAATTAAGTCCCATGAGAACATGAGATCTGTACATCATGTTTTCAACTTTGAAATTAGCGTTTCTTTTTTTTTAAGTACAAATATAGTTATTCCACACACAATATAAGCTATATTTTGAGTGCCTTAATGCAATCATTGGCCTATACATAAACACATTCGATGAATAAAGAAGCATAATTATGGGATAAAAACGTTGTAGAGGCTGTCCCTCGGTCATCCCAGCCCAGGACTCTCATTCTCTCTCCCATTGATGCGCCGAGGCGTGCCAGTGTGTCCATGTGATGCAGGAAGGATGTGTCCTAAAAGAGTTTGCATCGAGCCCAAATGCATCACTTCTGAGTCCGATCACCGCTCAGCACTCATCTTCGGATATTCCCCCTTTCGCTTTGTAGTTACATCGGGTGAAAGGGAAGAAACCGAAGAGAACGAGAGAAGGATTGTGAAATGGGAGCTACGGCATCATCCGCGCAACGGGACAGCAGATGTGAGGAGGACGCAGCGGCGGAGGAGCTCACTGCAGCGGCGAGCGATGCTCAGGATGACGGCAGTGCTGATGACAAGGTAGAATGCATGTAACCAGCCTCCTGCTGCAGAGAAACGCCTCACAAAGTTTCAAAGACATGAGCTCTGAATCCAAGGATACGCACAGGCTGTATCTCAAAACGTAGTGTGCTGCCTATCTAGACAGCATTTTTGCGCCAATGCAGAACATGCATATGATGCTCAAAATGTTGTAGACAGGAACGATTTATTAGTCAGAGGTTGCTCTTTTTAGCTCAGGAGAAGGGATTTCTCAGGTTTGTTTTGTTTATCTATCAGGCGTTTTTCCTTTGGATAAGTAAATTAGACAATTGTTTACAGAGTAAATGTATAGAGTTATAAAATAGTGTGGACTTTGGTGCTTTGGCTAATCTGAGCACAGTTGTGAAGCTGAAGAGAGGAAAGTGAATTTACTAGAGTCTTATTTACAGGAGAACATTTTCAGAAGCAATACACTTAAATTTTACTTTGCAACAATTTTCACTCAGAAATTGCTAGTTAAATGTCACAAATAATTGCATAGAAATAGCAAGTAACACACCATTAAACATGACATTTTTAAGTAGAAAGACTGAAATAATATTTTGTTGTGAATCCTACTCAAATAATGTTTATTTTATGTACAACTTTGGGTTTTGTTTGTTTTGCTTGGTGTAGAAAATTTATCAGGAATGTCCATAATGCAATATCCCGACTATCATTTGCAGCTATTTAACTGCAGTAATGGGAGTCAAAAGAAGATTAGGTGACTTTGTCCTATTTATAGGTGTTTGACCTAAATTCACTGTATGAACAAAATATGCATTAGGTTCTGGTAGTTCAGATTAGATAGTTGAGTTAATAAGAGAGTGCATTATTTAATTAGCATTAACTTTATATTTCAAAAAATATTTGTTTTAATTCATCTCTGTAGTGAATTCAAGAAAATTGTATAGGCCATATAGACATTATTTTGCCTGGTATTAATTAAGGCATTAAGGCAGAATCTGACAGTTTGTGGCATGAGAACTTCAGAAGTCGACATATTTGGATAAAGTCACACATACAAGTCCTCTGCCAAGTGTTAATATTGCAGGCAGAATAAATCAATAACACTGATAACTGATGCATCCTCAGTGGCTGGCAAAGAATATGATATCTTTTTTTTCCTGCATGGAGTTCAAACTTTAAATTAGATTTAAAAGTGTTTCATCGCTACTAAACTGCTTCTTATCATGTGGGTTGAATTTCTGGTTTGTCCTTTGATGTTTGTTTTCTTGTTCACCTGAATTCTTTTATTGGATTAAATGTGTAGGTTAAGAATTTAAAATGCAATTTCGGTTTATGTCAACATATCACAATTCCATCTCCTTTCAGCATTTAGGTTTGTCAGCTGTTTTGGACTTATGTGTGCACATTAATGGAGGGATATTTGTAGTACTTTTATTCCCAAAGGATTGATGGAATTCTCCCTTACTGCACTGGGTGCATTGATTTTCCATGTAAAACATGATGAGTTCAGCCATAGTTTAACAGGAAGTCTGTGAGATGGCTTTTAGTCAAAGGAGAGCTATCTGATACTCGACTTCCATAAATGTGTTCAGTTATTTTGTTTTGTTAGTTATCCCAAGGGCCATCTCCTTCAAACTACATTGCGGTACTTAACATTCAGAAAATGTGATATTGTCATAACTATTGTAAAATGTTTGGGGAATTTCTTAACTTGAATCCGACTCCAACTCACTTGCCTAAAATAGCATATAGATAATATGTATAGTTAAGAGCTACACTGTAAAAAAAATCTGCGACATTTACGGTAAAATACCGGTAGCTGTGGTTGCCAGAACTTCACCGTAAAAAATATGGTAGCAAATTTAATGACAAATAATTTATAAAGTATAATTTACTTTGTTAGTCACTCCTTAATTTGTCCTGTCTTTTCCATATAGTTATTACAGAAAAACGGGCAGATCTCCAGTTTGAATGTAAAGACAAGGAACCATGCAGATGAATTAAATGGCAACTTTGAGGAGAGAGTACTTGCAGATGGTATGTAAAACTATATTATTGTTATTAATTTCATTGTTTCCCTCGTTGTTTCCAAATGAAATGAGAACAGCACTTTTATACAGTAGTAAATATCCATGTACAAATGTTTTATGTGTACAGCACACACGTACCTTGGCACTTTTCATTCTTATTTATTTATTTATTTTTTGTCAGTTGGCTCAGGGTTTGTTACTTTAAAAGAAGATGGCACAGAAACAATTGAAGACCTCCAGGAAATGGATGCTCTTCAACCAGTCATGAAGAATGAGAGCACAGAGATGCTTGATGCAGATAGTGTGACTGTAAAGGAAGAAACTATGGAGGACAACCAAGTGAATGATATCAATGACGTTGGCTTCAAAAAAATCTTCAGATTTGTTGGATTTAAGCTTACCCTAAAAAAAGACACATGTGAAAAGACTGAAGCAAATGAACAAGAAGAAAAAGTCACAAGTCTCTCAGAGGACTCCAGTGACACCCAGGAGAACAGTGCAGTGGCAGCAGATGAAAACACACCTGAAGAGACTCAAAAAAGTGAGGTATCTTCCCAGCCTGATGCAACTGAACCCTCTCAACAAACAGAAAAGGAAAAGGAGCTGGATCAGGACATAAAGATAGTGGAGCATCATGTGGAGGACACACCTGAGAAAGAACTGGTAAAAGAACTGGTAAAAGAAGCAAGTCCTGAGCCGGAGGAACCGATGTCACCAATCAAGCAATTCTTTACACAAGGAATCTTTGCCAGTTTAAGAAAGAAAAAGAAAGAAGAGGAAATGCAAAAAGAGAGTAAGGAAGAGGAACTCAAAAGAATTGAAAAAATGGGTGTAGAAGAGGCAGAAAAAGAAGACAGTAAATGTATGTGCCTTGATATTCCTTATATTACTTCACAGGAAGAAAAAGATTCACAGGAGAAGGATAATGACGAGTTGTTACCTGAAGGAGAGCTTCAGAATTCTCTAGAGAAAGATAAGGTACAAGGAAGTCCACTTAAAAGACTTTTCAGGAAATTTTCCACAAGAAGGCAGAGAGAAAGTAAAGCTGCAGAAAAGGTGATTGAGGCTGAGGAACAAGTCTCTGAACAGCCGAAACCATCCTCGGAATTGACAGAGCTTGCAAAAGTTGAGGAAACAGTGGTTGGGGAACCAAAACATGCTGAAGAGGAGCTGGTGGCTGATGTAAGCCCTCTAGAGTCCAAAAAGAAATCTGACACCACCGTTTCCTGGGAGGCACTGATTTGTGGTGGCTCTGCTAAAAAAAGGGCTAGAAAAACAAATGAGGATGAAACGCCAGACAAAGGAGAGGAATATGAGAAAACAACTGACTCTCCACTGGGAAGTTCCATTGAGGGTGATTATGATCATCTCACATCATCTAATGAACAAACTGGAAGTCCTGCAGAGGGAGAGATGGGATCCACATGGAAAACATTTAAAAAAATGGTCACCCCAAAGAGAAAGGTCAGAACTGGAGAAAGTAGTACCCCTGAGCAGATACCTTCAGACAGTGAGATGAACAAAGACGAATCATTTTCTATGAAGAAACTTATTCCAGGGCATAAAAAGAGAAAATCAGATGCAAGGAAAGACCAAACATCCTCCGATGAGGGTGCTAAGGATCATGAAACAGGTGATGAAGATGATGAAACCCCAGCTATTATTCCTCTGTCTGAGTATGAAATAATTGAGCCTGAAAGTCTGAAGGAGGTGAATGAACAACGAGTTGAAATCACAATAGAACACGAGATGCCAGAGATGACTTCACAAGTGTTAGAACAGGACACATCTAATAACTTAGTGCCCAAAATTGCAACTAAAATTCCAACTAACACTGGACCAACAGTCATACATGGATTATCAGAGGACTTTGAAGAACTTACAGACTTTGTGAGCAAACATCAGCAACTGAGTGATATTCCAGAAGAAGGCATCAATGAGGAAAGCATTGAAACACCAGTATCATCTACTGAGTGGACAACACAGGATGACACCTTAGCTGAGGACATTGTGGAGTTGACAGCTGATGCGGTCACTGCTCCAGAACCAGCAAGTGAACAATTTATTGGGGATGACACTACTGAAATGGTCTCGGCAGTCTCTCAACTAACTGAATCTCCCAGGTCATCTGGACATGTTACACCAGTGTCAGCTGAATATGGCATACAAACATCAGATGTGATCCTACAGGAAGCTTTTCAATCCATTTGCATGACTCCAAGTGTTCAATCAGTAACTACAAAAGATGAAAGCCAAGAATCTCTGGCCGTGTCATTTTCACCTTATATTGTACAGTCATCCACAACAGAGGAAACAAAGGTTTTGGTTGCACATAAGAAAACTGAGGCAACAGCAATATGTACAGGCCTAGTATCTCAAGAAATAGAATCTGTTGAAGAACATCTCCCTGTACCCTTTGTGGAGGCAATACCTGAAGTATGTGATGCTGTCCCAACTGAATTAGTCTCTGATAACTTTACAGATGAAACTAAAACTGCAGGACTTGGGACAGATGAGGTCTATGAAGCTGAAATTAAGGAAGTGAAGACTGAGTATCAGAAAGTAATTGTAAATGAAAAAGAATCTGCCACTGAAACTGAGCTAACCGCAGAGCAAGTCATTCAATTAGTGGCAGAGCCTCTTGTGGAAGAATCAGAGGAAACTCATATAGAAGACAAAAAAGAGGAACATACAACAAGTACTGAATGCAGAGAGGTGATTGAGACGATGCAAAGTGAAGCTGGGCTGGATCAGGTTTTATCAGACTACACCCATGATCCTGAAACAGAGTGTCCACTGCATTCTGTGTTAGAGGAACCTGTGTATGAAGGACAAGTAGCTGCTGAACCTGAAAAAGAGCTGACGCCCTTAGATGTTGAATTGTCAGCTGCTGAGTTTGAGCATGCTGCACCCACGGAAGTAGTTGTGTCTTTGACACATGGTGATGTAGACAACATTCCTGACACTACCACAAGTAAAGAAGTCAAAGCTATTGAAATCATTGCCTCTGCTGTGGAGTGTCTGGAAACCAAAGAGACTGTTAGTATTGTAAGTCCAATTTCAGATCACATACAGTCAGAAACATTGGACTTAGAAGAGAGTTTAAAATTAAAAGCAGTTGAATCAGTACACGTTGATGTCTGTGAAACAAAAGTTGACGTAAAAGATGGAGTCTTATTAGCAGGTGATTCAGCGGTGACTGTGGAGGACATCAGTGAGAAAACAGAAGAAAATGATTATGAAAAAATGGCACAGCTGGACATTAAGGAAATACATGTAGAAGAAGAGACTGGGGATGCTGTTGCTTCAGACGTTGTTGAAAATATTGAGGTTGAAAATACTTCAGAAGCTGTAGATGAATCATTAGACAGAGAACAGTTGCCAGCCAAGGAGGTGTCACTTCCAGAACCAGCATTAGTTGAAGAGGCTGAAGAGCTCCATAAAGAAGACATTGATACAAATTTGGATGATAACAAAGTGAAAGACAGTGCAACTGACAGAACGGATGGGATATTTGTGAAAGAGGAAGAGGAACATGCAGTAAAGGAAGGGCAACCTTTAACAAACATTGAAAGCAATGAAACAGAGAATGAAGATGTTTCTGCTCACACAAATACTACTGATGAATCTCCTGAAATAATCGTTGATGCAGGAAGTGAAAATGGAGACATGGTTCATGAAATAAGAGAATGCACAGTTGTTCCTGAGTTTTCAAAAGATGTATCCGAGCGCACAGAAACACCAGCCAAGCTTGAAGCTAGTTCTGAAGTCATACTGAAACCTCTAGAGTTGGTGTTGCCAGAAGTAGAAGCAAAACCTTTAGCAACAGAAATTGTGGTTTCTCAAACGGAAGACTGGAGTCAAGATACCAAACCAAGTCCAGAGATTTCCAAAGAGAATGCACAACCAGTGACAACTGAGAATATTAAAACTGGTAAAGTTTTAGAGATGGTTGCCATTATAGAGAACACAACAAAACAGTCTGGTAAAGAGAAACCTATAGAGTCTGAACCTGTAACACAGGTACTCGAAAAATCTAAGCTACCAAAGGCAACAGAACAAGAGGGTAAAGCAATAGATGGTGACCAGGCCCCAGCAATGACATCATCAGAAATGAAAGATATGGCAGTTCCAGAAAAAAAACATACAATGGCTGTTGCTCCCAAACCAGAACCTGAAGGGTTTGATTTGAGGCCGACTATGATTGAAGTGGCTGCAATCACAGTGCTGGCACAAAATTATACTGCTACAGAAATAGAGGTTAGTAATATGAGCGAACAGAACAATGAAGCAGATGAAAACGCTAGGCTAAAATGTGAACCTCTTGAACAGGTAACAGAAAAGAAGTCAAATGATTTGCAGGTAGACAAGACCGAAATTAAAGATGAAATACCAGCAGTAATGGAAATGACCCCCATTGCACAGGTATCACCACTGACCTCTGAAGTTGCATCAGAAATGCCAGAAGTTGCTGTTTCTGAGATACAAACACAAGTAGTGAGTGAACTCAGGGCTGAGACGCTTGAAGTGACAGAACCAACGGTAGAAATTCCAGTGGTAACAGAAGTGAAAGTAGAGACAGCTGTAGTAACTGAACTGCAAGTGGAGACACCAGTTGTCACATCAGTGGTTACAGAACTTGAAGTAGAAACACCAGAGGTTACATCTATGGCAAAAACAACTGATACTCTCAATTCTGCTGTTGCGTCACAAAATCAAAACATAGATACTGACACATCAGTGTTGACAACAGTGATCAAAGAACAAGTGGTGGAGATTCCCACTGATGTTTCTGTGGTAGTGACACCAGCTACACCTCTAGATGAAACACCCGTTGTAACTCTAGGCAATGAGTCAAAGGATGTACCTCCAGTAAAAGACACACCTGCTGTGACTGAAGCAGTAGAAACACCAAATGTTGAATCAGTGATTGTGAGGACTGCTGTGGCCCCAGCAGTAGAGATACAGAATGTGATTCCAGTGGAAGCAACACCAGATCTTGGGTCAGTAATAGTAATAGAAGCTGCATTTCCAGTAATAAGTACAGCAACAGTGACTACAGTAGCAGAAGCAACAGTTTTGAGCACAGTTGTAGAAACACCTGTTTTTTCTGTCACAGCAGTAAAATCAACTCCAGCTGTGGTAGAGAAAACAGCTGTTTCACCTGTAGTAGAAATCCCAGCCACATTAACATCTGTTGTGCAGACTCCAGCTGTTGTTTCAGTGGCAGAGAATGTACCTCCAGAAGAGGTTACACTAGATGTGACCCCATTTGCAGAAACACCTGTGAGCCAAGTAATTGAAACTCCTATTGTTTCCATCACATCAGTAAAACCAACTGTACCTGCAGTGACAAAGACACCAGTCACTGAGATACCAGCTATGATTTCAGTGACAGTAGCAGAAGCTGTATCTCCTGTAGTAGTTACATTGGCTGGAACTCCAGTAGAACCAGAAACAATTATGATGCCAGAAGTAGAAACTTCAGTAGTAACTTCAACTGTAGAGACATCACTTGTGACACTAGTGGTACAAACACCAGCTCAGATTTCAATAATTGCAACAGATGCAGGACTTCCAGTTACACCACCAGCAACTGCAGCATCAGAAACATCAGCTGTGATCCCAGCTGTAGAAACTCCTGTTGTAAAGTCATCTCCAGTTGCAGTGGATGAGACTCCAGTTGTGACCCCAGTGGTACAGACACCAGGTCAGGTTTCAGTGATGGTAACAAAGACTGTCCCTCCGCCAGTTGTTTCAGCAGAGACTGCAGCAGCAGCAACTCCAGCTGCAGTGGATGAGACACCAGTTGTGACCCCAGTGGTACAGACACCAGGTCAGGTTTCAGTGATGGTAACAGAAACTGCCCTTCCAGCAGTTGTTTCAGCAGCAACTCCAGCTGCAGTGGATGAGACACCAGTTGTGACCCCAGTGGTACAGACACCAGGTCAGGTTTCAGTGATGGTAACAAAGACTGTCCCTCCGCCAGTTGTTTCAGCAGAGACTGCAGAGGTAGAAACACCTGTTGAGATCCCAGTACTAGAAACTCCTGTTGTAAGGTCAACTCCAGCTGCAGTGGATGAGACACCAGTTGTGACCCCAGTGGCACAGACACCAGGTCAGGTTTCAGTGATGGTAACAAAGACTGTCCCTCCGCCAGTTGTTTCAGCAGAGGTAGAAACACCTGTTGTGATCCCAGTAGTAGAAACGCCTGTTGTAAAGTCAACTGCAGTTGCAGTGGTTGAGACACCAGTGATGACCCCAGTGGTACAGACACCAGGTCAGGTTTCAGTGATGGTAACAGAGATTGCACCTCCAGTAGCTGTTTCAGCAGTGGCTGCAACAGTAGAAACACATGTTATGATCCCAGTAGTAGAAAGTCCAGTAGTAAAGCCAGCACCAGTTGCAGTGGTTGAGACACCAGTTTTGACTCCAGTGGCACAGACACCATGTCAGGTTTTAGTGGCAGTAACAGAGGCTGCACCTCCAGTAGTTGTTTCAACAGTGACTGCAGCAGCAGAAACACCTGCTGTGATCCCAGTAGTGGAAACTCCAACTCCAGTTGTTGTGGCAGAGACACCAGTTGTAACCCCAGTGATGACACCAACTGTGATTCCAATAGCGGAAAGGTCAGTTGTGAGCCTAGTAATAGAAACTACCGCAGAAGCGCCGACTGCAATTGCAATGGCAGAGAGACCTGTTATGATCCCAGTGGTACAGACACCAGCTCTGGTTTCAGTGATTGCAAAAGAGGCTGCACCTCTAGTAATTCTACCAGCAGAGAATGCAGGAGCAGAAACATCAGTTGTGAGCCCAACAGTAAAGGTAAACCCACCAGTGGCAGTGGCAGAGACACCAGTTCCAGTACCAGAAGCACCTTCTGTGATCCCAGCAGTACAAACACCAGTTGCAGAGCAGGTAGCACAGACACCAACATCAGCCGTGCCCTTGGTAAAGGCAACATCAGTTGTGACTGGGATGGAGGCACCCGCTGTGACTACAGTAGCCCCTGTGATGATGACACCAGCTATTACCCCAGTTGTAGCTCCACCTGTTGTGACACCAGAAGTAAAGAAAGCAATGTTGCAGGTAGTTGAACAGGAGAAAAAGGAACCAAAGGCAGAAGCTTCAGTTGTGTCTAACGATGTTGAACCACCATTTGTGGTTGCGAAAGAGGTAAAGACATCAGTTTTAACTGAAGAGTGTGTATCAGATGAAGAAAATAGGAAGGCTTCCTTGCAGCATGAGCCTGTGGTTACTTCAACAGAACCTCAGTCAGAGGTAGAGGAGGATGTGTGGGAGGATGCTGTAGATAATATTGGAGATTCCCCGTGCCAGATGACATACACAGAGGGTGCACCCCAAGATACTGCTGCTAAACAAGCATTTGATGCTGCAATTTGATAGTGGCGTGCTAAACCAGTTGAAAGATTTGAATGAGTTGGTAAGTGATTTTATAATATTGCATTCAGTTATCAGTCATTTTTGTTGTCAGATTCATAACACTGATTTTATCATTTCAGGTGCAAGTTTAAAAAGGAAAATTCACAACATTTTACACCTGGAAGAGGCTGTGTTCAGCACAAAATCAGCTGGGACTCACATTTCTCTCAACAAAGAAATGACCAAACCACTGAGAAGTAAAATTGGATCATTAAAGTTCCATTAAGCAAAACTGAAATCAAAAACAGTAGTTATTCAGTGGACAGGCTGTTCTTTGACCAATCACTACATTTTTACATTTTACTTTGATGCAGAAAATATTTAAACATATGTAACCCTTCAAAAGCAGCTATTTTGTCATATTTTTACTAAGGATATTTGTCAATGTATGAATTTTTTATCCTGATTCAGACATCAGCGTAAGTTTATGCCACATTATATAATGTTGTATTACATATCTAAAACAAAAGGTTAAAATGTTAAAATATAAAACATTTGTACACATGCATTATATCCAGACCGTTTGCCATGTTTAGCATAAGAAAATAATTGTCATTGTGGAAGGACGTGCAATGCCTGGTATTTAAAGATATGTACTAAATCAAAGGTAATTTTGTTTTGAACCACCATATGCCTCTACATATGATATACATCAAGAAGGAATTTATTTTATACTCTAAATATGATGCACACTTTACCAAAGCTATAATGAGCAAATCACAATCATGCTCTATCAAAGAGAGGTTTAGACAGAATTCAGTCAGATATAGTCACTTAATGACTGAAAATGACAGATAGTTTTAATTTGTTTTACAAAGAACAGTCAAAATCTTATCAAACTCATGATTTATTTTTGTTGCCATATAAGTTACAAATTATTTTTGTAATTTGCTATTTTAATTTACAGAAAATATTTGACTAAAGTTCTGCCATAAAAATGTAAGCATGCAAACTAATGTTGGAATTACTGGCTTTTGCCCATGTGTGTTTTTTCCCCCCAGAGGAGCACTTCACATATATATATAAATGTTCTGCTTAATGATCAATACACTTTGTAGTACTGCATACTATCATTAAACAGTTTAGCATTTTTGTTATTATACAAGCTGCCTTGCCTGTTTTAAGGGCATGTGCATCTGGACTGATAAAATAAGCCATTGCAGTATTGAAATCAAAATTTTAACTTATTCTAATATATTGCTAAGTGTTTGAAACCATCTGTACAGATTGATTATACAGACTATGCCTCTTTGAAGAAATTGCAATATTAACAATCAATTAAATACAAGAGTGTAGTATTGTTCCTGGATTTTGAGACATTTAAAAATGTATGGTTTAATACAAATTATAATTTCAGGTTTTATTTAAATAAAAGAGACTACCAATTTTTGACTTATGATTTATGAAAAGTTGATGTCCAGCACACCAATACCATTGTTATTTCATTTGACGAATTGATGAAAGACAAATTGATAAAATGCTTATTTATTTTCTACTTTGTGCAATGTAAGATACTTTAAAGAGGCAACTCAGAAGTGTTTCACTATAACATTAAATATAGTATTTGCAGTTTATTAGTTTCAAATATATTCACAAATGACCTTCCGATAGAAAAAAAAATGAAAATAATGCAGTGAGTGGACCTTTAAAAAAAATACTTATTTCTCTCTCAGTTTATAACAAACACATGAAAATGGTTAAATACTGGCACTGAAATAAACTAATACTGCTTTAGACATTTGACATTTTAAGAAAGAATGGTTACTTCAGGAGTAGTTGTCTCAAAGTCCTTCTTTTGATTTTCCCCCAACGAATTTTCTGCCAATGGTACCGCTTCACTCTCAGTCAAACACTGATGTTTGGGAACCTCAGAAAGACTTGCAAAATGTGCTGCGCACATGCTACATTTATAGGGTCTTTCTGAAGACTGGAAGAGAGCTTCTACCTGACTGTTGTCTTCTCCACCACACAGAACCAAACTCTGCTTATTGACCATAATGTACGAGTCTGTGTCCTGACTCAAACAAACGTGTCGAGCAGCTTGATTGGCTCTGCAGAAGTTCTTTCCGCAAGCACTACACTTATATGGCTTTCCAGTGTGAATGTACATGTGCTCACGCCAGTGGCTCTTCTGAATAAACTTGCGAGCACAGGTTGGACACTCGAATTTTCTGCGTTTCATTTCACGACCCATCTCGGTGCCCTCCAAGTTGTCTATATCAGCAATTTCAGAGGGCGGCGGGGTGTCTTCCATCCACACCTGTTGATCAGTATCACTAATAACATCACTGTCAGCACGCAAATGGTCCTCTTCCATATCCTGAACTTCAAGCTCAATAGTGTGACCATTTTGCATAGACGACACCTGTGGCTCAGTTGCTTGGTTGGTGTGGACAAGGAGATGTTCCTTCAACTTGCACCTCTGGTTAAAACGGATTCCACAGTAATTGCAGGTGTAATGCTTTCGGGAGGAAGCACTCTTACTCATTATGCCATATGTGAGGTGGTGGACCATTGTGGCTGCTGGGTTTTGGGTGGGTGACTCTATGCCAACGGGTTGTGGAGATCTATAATCCATATCAGAAATTTCCAAAAATTCTCGGCTAAAGTTTTCACAATTTTTAGCACCATCCTTGCATGCTGGATTTCTTTCAGGCCGGCTGTATGTCTGATCAGGTATCTGTATGCCATAAAGTGAGTTTGTCAAAGGTACATACTGGGACTCAGGGTTTATAAGAAGACTTGCCTCCTGTAATAAAGGGTAAGCATGCAGGAATTTTACGCCCTGCTCAAGGCGAAGAGGGTCAATGGGCTGTGAGGTGAATTTTCCAGTGTACATTAAGTTAAGCAAGTAGCTGAAGATATCTGCTTGTATGTCTGAAGGCTTCAGTCGAACACAGTCACTGCAAAAAATAACCATAAAGAATCATTTAATAACAAAGTACTGCAAATGCGAATGAAGAACTTTTTTGCAGTGGCGCTTGTGGTACCTGTCTTGATGGATAAACAGCATACGGAAGTAGTTTGAGAATGCTGCAAGAACAGCTTTGTGGGCTTTGAAAAGAACATCCCCAATGGCCACAGTACAGTCACAGAGGAAACCAAACTCTCTCTGAGCATTGAGGCGCTTAAGGAGAACAAGACCATGATGGGCCAAGTCCATTTTTCTCCACCTAAACACACACAAATGAAAAGTAAATAATCATAACATTTTCAGTAGGTTATTCTTGATAAATTTCTTGCACACCTTAAATATGCATTTTGGTCACCAAAACTACATTTATCAGATACAGAACATTTACATGTGTACTTCACCATTTGTAAAAAATAAATAAATAAATAAATACATTCTGGCCAATATATATTTCAAATACAGTATATGGTAAATATATGTTGGAAACTGAGATAAATTAATTATATTTTTGAAATTTAAAAATTAAAAAAATTTCAGAGGCAAGAAAATATTTTTTTCCCCCAATCTTACAGTAGCATACATTTAGGATAAATGCAAATGTGGATGGAATAGCCTAAAAAAAAAAAATCCCCCCAAATGTGACATGTGAATGTAATTTCTTGGACTGAAATATATGGAGGGCAAAATACTATCTTAAATGCTTTTGAAAAATAAATTTATATTTTTAAAATATGTTTTTAAAAATAAATGTTTATGTAAATATATTTTAAATCATATTAGCAAATATATTTTTCGCCATTTTTTATTTATTTATTTTGCATATTGATTTTTGTGGATATACATACATATAATTAAAAACATATATTTTTGGAGTATGGTTTCTCTATACTTGTGAGGGTAACAATATTTCTAACAATAATCTCACAAATACAATAAAAACCTACTCATGATGATGACATTACTCACTTGCAAAAAAAATACCTGTATGTAAAAGAAAAAGAAACTACATAATGTACTATTTCGCGTGTAAAACTAGCAGTAGCGTGGTTTCAATGTCTAAATAGGCTTTGAGGCAACTAATAAGAGTGTTTGTAAATGTGTGTTTGCGTGTCGAAGCCCCGCCCATGCTGGTGAATTCAAGAGTACAAGTTTCCGCGGACAAAATAGGAAACACGCGCTCACGCAATGAACCCAATAAAATAACGTTACACTTTAAACGAGCGAAAGAAAATCACACCAACGAACAGAGAAATTAAAAAGGTTAATCTTCCGATAAGCGAAAGCAATTCCAAGAAGAAAACTGTCAAAACATGAATCATTTTCGGTCAAGAACCGTGAGTAATCGATAGTGTCCATCGTTACCAGGGTAAAAACAAGCCGACAACCGGTTTATGAAACACTTGTTTGAAACAAAACCTTTAAAGGCGTCACTTACCGTCTCCTCTTTCTCGACAGAACTCTAATGCCGTTGAGTTTGTTGGCTGAAAAGCGGAGGAAACCTCTCCACCGAGCAGCAGTACGAGCTCAGTCAGTGTCCGCTGCCGTTTTCCGGAGGGTTTGAATCACATGACGTGAGCGCGCGCCGTATCGAACGGCTGTCAATCAATCAGTCAACCGAATAAGAACATTGGAACGTCAGCATGACGTCATGATGGATTTGTTAGCGGCTTCATTTGAGCAGCATTTTTTTTTTTATAACTAGTGAAATGATGAATAAATGCATGAAATGTAAAACAGCCTTCTGGAAAATCAAGTTTATTAAAAAATTATGACTAAGATTATGAAAAAAAGAGCCTCTGACACTAGCATTCTCTATTCTTTTGACTTGTTTTATTTTTATTTTAAAAAAAGACCCTCTAACACTAGTGTTCCCTATTCTTTTTCTATTCTATCTACTTGTTTAATCAAGTTTATTAAAAAATTATGACTAAGATTATGAAAAAAAGAGCCTCTGACACTAGCATTCTCTATTCTTTTGACTTGTTTTATTTTTATTTAAAAAAAAAGACCCTCTAACACGTGTTCCCTATTCTTTTTCTATTCTATCTACTTGTTTCTATTTTTATAAAAACATTTTTTTTTTTAAACTTGCTATGTGTACTGCATTAGGCTAACCAGACTTGTCACAGCACTTATATATTATTGCCATTTTTGTTGTTTTGATTGCTTCTATTGTCCTCATTTTTAAGTCGCTTTGTATAAAATCGTCTTCTAAACTAAATGTAAATGATTGTATGTGTTCCATGTTCCAAAAAAAAAAAAAAAAAGCGAGACAGTTTGTCACAGCTTGTAAAGTAAAAAATCATTTGAGAAATTTTAGCACTATTGGAGGCTATGTAAGCACAACCCAATTACAAAACCAAGTCCGATGCCATTGGCAACATGGCAGCATGTGAAGAGTTGTGCACATTTTGGAGCTGTTTTATATTACTCAAGCTCATTTATAAGTTCCACAACACGGCTATCAACTTATTTCACAGCAGGGGTCGAGTCATTTCAGGACATCTATTCAATAGTGATTTCTATCCCACAACTTTCTGAAAAGGAGCCAAAACAGAAACCAAATGAGCCACTATTCATCTGATCCTTCTAAAAAAAAAAAACTTTATTTCAGGTCAGTGTCACATTAAGAATAGCAAAAGATCAGATGACTGATCAATGAGTACTTCATCTACAGAAAACAAAATGATTTGCTGGTTTACAAAGTTACTGTATGCCATCGTAAGTCTGTATCTGTGGGTCCTCAGAAGATTACACGAGCAAGTTCAAACATCACCTTTAGAGGGAAGAAAATAAGAAATATGTTTTGCATTGCATTTGCAAAATGTGTACCTTAAAACAAATTTTGAGGACATACATAATATAATGTAGACATTTTGCATAGCATTTTTTGACAGTGCAGCTGAAATGTCTATTAGATCTATTGTTTATTATTTAAACTGGTGTTCAAAATGAAAGTTTGCATGAATAGAGTTGATATCAGGGTTTACTAACCTCAATGGTGATCAGTATGACAATCATCCACTCCAGTCTGAGACTGTGTTTCTCACTGAGGTGATTCCTCATCAGGTCTGTTAGTTCAGTGCAGTGCTGTAACTTCTCGTTCACAACCTACAAATAAAACAATGCGTTAGGATCAATGCATTTTATCAGGATATTCATATCATGTCTTTTAAAGGGGTCATATGATGCGATTTCAATTTTTCCTTTCTCTTTGAAGTGTTACAAGCTCTTGGTGCATAAAGAAGATCTGTAAAGTTGCAAAGACTAAAGTCTCAAATCCAAAGAGATATTCTTTATAAAAGTTGAGTCAGCCACGCCTACCTAAAACGGCTCGTTCTAACACACCCCCACATATCTACCTCACTATGTGGGAAGAGTTGCATAACGCCGCCCAAATGTTCACGCAAAGAAAGAAGGCGTAACTTTTATTCTCACTGTAGTATTGTTGTTGCCGCCGCCGCCATGTCGTGAAGGCGCTGTGTGTTTCGTTGTGAAAGCGAAACTACTTTGTTTGGTCTTCCAAAAGAGGACGATATCTGCTTCGTCATGCCTGGAGCTGATCTGTGCTGGTCGCTGAGGAAATACATCAACTTCGCGCTGTGGATCGCCGGATCGGCTTTCACCGTGGACGAAGCGGAGTCCAGCCCGGGATTGTCACATGTGGTTGCCGCAAGACCGCCGGCCGTTTCTCACTCTAGCCACAGGCCTCCCCTCACTCAAGGCCGCAGTGTGTGACACTGTGTTTCGTTGTGAAAGCGAAACTACTTTGTTTGGTCTTCCAAAAGAGGACACAACTAGAAATCAGTGGTTAAGTTGTATTTACAACACTGTTCCAGAACACTTCAACCCAAATATTCAGATGTGTGCAGCACATTTTATGGAGGACTGTTTACTGATCCTGGGAGAGTAACGTTAGACTAAAATGCCAGCAGTTCTGACTCACGTAAGTACGTTTTCATTTAAAGGATTTGCCACTGATGATTCAAACGCGAGTTTTGGGCAGTGTAGAGTAGCACTTGTTGTTTGTCATTTCTCTAATCACAAATGCAGACATGGTTTTATGTTTACCAGTCCATCAGTTAATGTCTTGAGAAGCCAAAAGATGCATGTGTGGAAGAAACAAATCCATCATTAAGATTTTTAACTTAAAACCGTTGCTTCTGGATAAAATACTTAATTATGGGTTATGGACTGGTATTTTGGCCAGAAGTGACGGTTTAAAGTTAAAACACCTTAATGATGGATTTATATCTTACAAAGCAGCTTTTCAATTCACAAGATGTTAATTGATGGACTGGAGTGGTGTGGATTACTTGTGGATTATTGTGATGTTTTTATCAGCTGTTTGGACTCTCATTCTGACGGCACCCATTCACTGCAGAGCATCCATTGGTGAGCAAGTGATGGAATGTTAAATTTTTCCAAATCTGTTCTGATGAAGAAACAAACTCATCTCCATCTTGGATGGCCTGAGGGTGACTACATTTTCAGCCAATTTGAATTATTGGATGAACTATTCCTTTAAGACAGATTCAAAGAAATCTTTGCAAGTACTTTCACTAACCTTAACTCTTCTGTTAATATTGAGGAACTGACAGGTCTTGTCATAGAGCTGCTCGAGATCTTCTCTATCCCAGTAGAAATCAGGTGTGATCAGTAAGTCTGAGCTGAGGTTTATGCAGTGCCTGTAAAAGTTTAAAAAGACTGTGAGAATTAAACAGAGCAGCAGGTTATCTCATACAAAATAAACCAAATAAAGTGATACAAAATCAGCCTGACCTGAGGGAAAAGAGCTCCCCTATCTTCTGCATAACTTCAGCCCTAGACAGTTTCACTCTCTGTCCAGACTTCAGCATCTGTTAAAAAGGTTTATGAATATAATTACAACATTTCAAACAGAAGTATATTTGCAGTTTCAGAAAAAAACAGAACAGCTGTTCACATCTGTGCTTTTTAACATACAGAACTATTTTAAATAGCAAAAAGCAACAAATGCTGGTATTACCTATGAAAGAGTACATAAGTGGATCTACCTCAGGAATTGACTGGATGGACTCAACAAAGTTGTCGAGAGAGACCTCCCATATTGCCAGTTTTACTGAAATCATGCAAGTTTAAAGCAACGTCATCAGTGTTTTCAATGTTTCTACAATTTATGAATGCTTAATAAAAATGCAAACATTACCCCACCTGACAGAGATAAAGCATTGGAAAATGCAAACTTCTCCAGAACAACCTGATTATAATCCATCTCTTCATTAAACAAGAAAATTCCACGATGGAGCTTTGAATTACCCCTAAACCAACAAATAAATAAAATATGAAAAAATACTTCAACTTTCAGTAGGTATTATATGATTTGAATATATGTTGCATTAAGAGATGAAGGATTTGTTACTCACTCTCCTACTGTATAAGTGATCTCTTCATTTTCCCAGTGGACCAGAGCGACTTCATAGGGTTGAATTTCATGCTGTTCCAATATCCTCATCACTGTCTTTATCTGAGAATAAACATGAGTTTAACGTTGTATACACATGCATATAAACACATACACTTATATATATATATATAAAAGGTTTATGAATATAATTACAACATTTCAAACAGAAGTATATTTGCAGTTTCAGAAAAAAACAGAACAGCTGTTCACATCTGTGCTTTTTAACATACAGAACTATTTTAAATAGCAAAAAGCAACAAATGCTGGTATTACCTATGAAAGAGTACATAAGTGGATCTACCTCAGGAATTGACTGGATGGACTCAACAAAGTTGTCGAGAGAGACCTCCCATATTGCCAGTTTTACTGAAATCATGCAAGTTTAAAGCAACGTCATCAGTGTTTTCAATGTTTCTACAATTTATGAATGCTTAATAAAAATGCAAACATTACCCCACCTGACAGAGATAAAGCATTGGAAAATGCAAACTTCTCCAGAACAACCTGATTATATAGAATCCATTCATTAAACAAGAAAATTCCACGATGGAGCTTTGAATTACCCCTAAACCAACAAATAAATAAAATATGGAAAAAATACTTCAACTTTCAGTAGGTATTATATGATTTGAATATATGTTGCATTAAGAAATGAAGGATTTGTTACTCACTCTCCTACTGTATAAGTGATCTCTTCATTTTCCCAGTGGACCAGAGCGACTTCATAGGGTTGAATTTCATGCTGTTCCAATATCCTCATCACTGTCTTTATCTGAGAATAAACATGAGTTTAACGTTGTATACACATGCATATAAACACATACACTTATATATATATATATATATCATTACTCCAGTCTTCAGTGTCACATGATCCTTCAGAAATCATTCTAATATGCTAATTTGGTGCTCAAGAAACATTTATGATGAACATAATGATGCTGAAAATTCAGCTTTGCATCACAGGAATAAATTACATTTTAAAATATTTTCAAATAGAAAAAAGTTATTTCAAATTGTAATCATTTTTCACAACATATTTATCAAATAAATGCAGCCTTGGTGAGCATAAGAGACTTTAAAAACATTAAAAATATCTTAATTATTCCAAATGTTATGAATAAAAAATAACTACTACTCACAGTTTTCTCTTCAACGTTCCAGAACACCACGGAGCCCTCTCTATATGGTAAACAAAACCAAAAATAATGACCAATTGGCTGAAATCAAAACCCAGAAATTAAAGTGAAAAAACATCATTCAGCATACCTGAAGACGAACATTGTGCCACTATCATAAGGTTTTGCAGCATTCTCTGTTCCCATAACCAAAACATTAGAAGCATCTGAAACCCACAAGATGTATTTACTACAAATATGTGTATCCTTCAAACTAGAATGGAATGCATAGTTTTCTATGTACGGTCAAAAACATAAAAAAAGTGATGCTGATGAACTGACCTCTGGGAAATTCTTCGATTTCAACGAAGCCATGAGCTATGAGATCGTGACAGAGGGTTGGTAAATGGTACTGATCTGCAGTTGCGTATGCAATGCACTGCATCATGTCCTGAAAAACATAGTTAGATACATAATTATATATGCCATAGATGATTCTAACGTAAACAATTGGCACACACCTCCTCCAGACTAGGCTGATTGGTTCGTGAAGGTTGTTTGGTTCTTGGTCCCTTAAAGGTCCTTTTTCCAGGCAAGCTTCCTTGTTTCAGCACTGATTTGGTGGCGGTTGTTGTTGTGGACTGCAATCTCATTTGTAATCTCCATGTTCTGGATTTTAAATTTAAAGGAGTCAGTCTTTCAAAAAGTGGTCTCTGACTCACTCCTCTCTGCAATAAGCATCTATGGTAATGTAAACTGGTGTGACAATTCCTCCAGTCTCTAAGAAGGTTTAGTGTAGATGCACTGGATGCCAGTGTTGTGCAGTTTAACCTGTTGGCGGGGACACTGTTTAATCCATTTAGTGTCCTGAGAGCAAATCCACAGGCTTGTGTCCTTTTCAAAGGCTGATGTAACCTCCATAAAATCTTGAGAGACATGCCTGTATGAATCAAGCAGTTTCCGCATTAAAATAGTGTTAAATTATGTCTATATCAGCATGCATGAAGTGGCCAAGAGGCCTTTATTTTAACTGACTTTGAACGACAAGCATGGCAACACACTGTATTGGTCATATCTAATCATATATAACCCTCTTGGTGGTTCATTATGAAGGTCAATTGAAGCAAATGCAAAGAAGGAAAAACACGTGTCTGCTTCGTTCTGATCAGCTGACATAAAGCAGATACACTTTAAATTGTTTTGCACTCTACTGTAAACGCAAGCTGCTTACATTTGATTCTAATAATTCACAGTAATTCATTCGCTTTAAACCTTCAGCGTACCTGCCGCGTACCGTCCCGCCAAATATTAGAACGTTCGGTGACAGAAACTGTTAAACTGTAGATACAAATGTTGCAACATTCTCAAACATTCACATAAAGTTTATTTGACAGTTCGACCTGCACGACTGATCCGGGCACTTCCTGTATTTTGGTGACGTTCAATCGGACGTAAAAGTCGCTCCGCCCCTGCAGACTTATTTGCATAGACTGTATATGGATTTTATGAATTTTCTTCTTCTTTTGGAGTTTTATGGCGGTTGGCAAACAAACGATAGGTGCATTCCCGCCACCTACTGGGCTGGAGTGTGGACCATTGATGGAATAGGAAGAACTAAATAAATTTTTTTTTATATATATATATATATAGAGAGAGAGAGAGAGAGAGAGAGAGATTTTTTTTTTTATAAAAAATTAAACCCTTCTAAATCCTGTTAAACAGATCTACTTTTTTTTTAAAGAATGTCATTAAAGCATTATATATTTTATAATGATTTAAGTCATTATTCAACAAAGTTTTAAGTGTAATATTTTCTATCCCTATTTCTTTTAATTCTTCCAACAGAAATGCTCTTTCATTATCATAAGCAGAACAACGTAATAGTGCATGCTCTACTGTTTCTGGTAATCCACACAGACTACAGTTCCCAGACTCATGCTTTTTTTTATTAATTTTATTTTGAACCTATTGTTTTATTTGGTAAATGGCGTGTAAAACACATGTAAATTTAAGTTTGTTACGTTTGTTCTCTTAAATATGTTAAGAGATAAACTATTTTATCTATCTATCTATCTATCTATCTATCTATCTAAAAATCATGTTTTACAGTAATTGTTAAAAAGTTAAAAAGTCGAGGAGATTTTTAAAGGGGTCATATGATGCTGCTAAAAAGAACATTATTTTGTGTATTTGGTGTAATGAAATGTGTTTATGCGGTTTAAGGTTAAAAAAACACATTATTTTCCACATACTGTACATTATTGTTTCTCCTCTACACCCCGCCTTTCTGAAACGTGTCGATTTTTACAAAGCTCATCGGTCTAAAAAGCATTGTAGTCTACTCTGCCAGGATCAGGAAACAGTCCTCCATAAAATGCGCTGGACACATCTGAATATTTGGGTTGAACTGTTCTGGAACAGTGTTGTAAATACAACTTAACCACTGATTTCTAGTCGTGTCCTCTTTTGGAAGACCAAACAAAGTAGTTTCGCTTTCACAACGAAACACACAGCGCCTTCACGACATGGCGGCGGCTACAATACTACAGCGAGAATAAAAGTTACACTTTCTTTCTTTGCGTGAACATTTGGGTTGCGTTATGCAAATCTTCCCACATCGTGACGTAGACATGTGGGGGCGTGTTAGAACGAGCCATTTTAGGTAGGTGTGGCTGACTCTTAACTTTTATAAAGAATATCTCTTTCGATTTGAGACTTTAGTCTTTGCAACTTTACAGATCTTCTTTATGCAGCAAGAGCTTGTAACACTTCAAAGAGAAAGGAAAAATTGAAATCGCATCGTATGACCCCTTTAATACAGGAGTTATTTTTTTAGCTTAGTTAAATAGCACACATTTATCAAGAGTCTGCAAGCAGGTAGATATGAGGCTTTATATTATTTATGTCATATAAGATGCTTGAAATCCATTGTGTCAGTACATTAAATTAAAAATAAAATAAAAACATTGTACGTCGCTCTGATAAAAGCATCTGCCAAATGTGACTGGCGGTCACTGTATTAACATTTGATGGCGCGCCCTCTAATGGTGAACACGTTAAATGTTGTTGTGTTGCTTGGATACCTGATAAACTACAGCGACACATTAACATGAATAATCTACAGAACACTGTGCATTAAAGAGAAGGTCTGATATAGACGTGGAGCAACAACAGACACAAGTGAGTTTGTACATTGTGCCAGTTTATAGAGTGATGCATTCTTATTATTTTTTCTTCACAAAGAGAATTGTTGCCTTTAATTGCTGTACTGTGTACTGCTATAGCCATAAATCATTTGATTTGTGTCAGGATCATCAAAATGCGAAAACATCCACAGGACCTGTCAACAAGGGCTAATTTAGTCAGTCAACTAATCCAATTGTGATTTATGTCTTATACCACTTTCAGTATATCTTTTATGATCATCTATACACGTTAATTCATAACCAAATTGCATTGCATTTCATTACTATAAAAAGTTATATTCATTGTGCCTAGCTAAATATGTTCAAATAACATATTGCTAACATACCCATTAAGTTGTGAAAACGCTTTTTCAAAATGTCCACTTTTTTACATGTTTGATAAACTTCTCTGAACATTCTAAAACATGTAGTTACATTTAAAAAGCCTGAAGTATTTAGGATATATATTTTTTAAAAAGTTAAATGAATGATGTATAAAGTTTTTGTGCTAACATTTTGAAAACATTATTAAAACCAGAACCAGAAACCCTTTGAACGGATGTTCTAATGTTATTGGAAGAATGTTCGTTCTAAACTTTGAGAGAACCTTGCCATTAGCCAAAGTTCTGAAAATGTTCCCTTGTTAGCTGGGTGAATTACTGTTACTGTTGCTATGGATACATCAGGTTCTATCTGTCAGCATTCAGGTTTGATTGACAGCGGCTTGGCAATGGAGGAGTCTGTAATCCAGCAGCACCTCACACACTATAAGCAGGCCACTGAGACGGCGCGTGAGGAGCTGGCCGTCCTGCAGACCAAATACAACAAACTCCAATCACAGGTTCCTGTATTCACTGGTCAGTTGTGGTGTTTTGAATGCACATTCTCTATGTGAAATAACTTATTTCCTTTTAACAGCTCTTGGAAAGCCAATCCAAAGTTGCATCTCAGGAAGAGACTATGAAGAACTTAAAGGATGCTGCAGATCGGCATAAAGAGAAAGAGGCGAGACAGGAGTCTCTCATCAGCTCACTCAGAGAGCGCAACTACAACACAGAGCAGGAGATGCTCTCCATCACCTCCTCCAAAAGCTTCATGGACATGAGAATACAGACACTTACAAAAGACAATGAGGAGATCAAGGGGAAAATAATGGAACTTGATATCAAGTCAAAGTGAGCATTTACTTTGGACACAACTAGAATATATACATAAGAACATACTGTATATATATATATATATATATATATAAAGTATAAATTGTTCATATGTAATTTAAATGTGGAATATAACCCTAACACTACATATACATGTATAAATTGTGCACATGTTGATGTATAATTAACACTTCTATTTCTTCTAACATCACATATTTGCAGACAGTATTTTGCAGAATGCAACAAAGCAAAACGGGAAGCCGCTGAGACAAAGTGAGCATTTACTTTGGACACAACTAGAATATATACATAAGAACATACTGTATATATATATATATATATATATATATAAAGTATAAATTGTTCATATGTAATTTAAATGTGGAATATAACCCTAACACTACATATACATGTATAAATTGTGCACATGTTGATGTATAATTAACACTTCTATTTCTTCTAACATCACATATTTGCAGACAGTATTTTGCAGAATGCAACAAAGCAAAACGGGAAGCCGCTGAGACCCAGAGAAGATCTGATGAGTTTATATCGGCTTTAGCAAACAAAGTCTCTGTAAATGTGGCAGGAAAGGCAGATCCTATGGATTATATCATATCCGTGGTGAGTGTGTTCACATATGCTTTCAACCAATATTCTTCTGATCTCTAACATGTCTCTCTATGATAAGGTGGACGCCTGCTTGAAGGACAGAGACCACCTGAAGAACTGCATTTGTGCTTTAGAGGAGAGTGTGAAGTTGTACGAGGTGGAGTGTAAAGCCAGCAGAGAAACAGTCAAGAGACTGGCGACTGATGTAGAGCATGAACAGTCGCTCTCAGCCTCCAGAGTGAATGAGCTGAACTCTAGCAGACAGGTATCTTACAGATCAGTAATGCAATTAAACAACACTTAAGAAATCAACAAGCAACAAGTATCTTATAGGGTAAAACCTGTGCAGAACATGCCTGGGTTATATTTCACTTCAAAACCAGAAGAAATAAAAATATTTTGCATAAAGGAAAAAATGCTTTTTTTTTTTTTTTTGTAATGAACATTATGGCATTATGTTCAAGTATTTCCTGTAAAGCAAAATCATTAATAACACAGCCCTGCATAAGCATTCTGATGATTTGCAAAAAAAGGCCTAATATTAATTTGATGATGCTGAGTTCAAAAATATTAATGAGAACTTTCCATTGCGTATAGTTTTTACTCAAAATAAGAATGGTTTTTCAATTTATATAAATTTGTATCAGCTTTAATGCACAAATAAAAGCAATCAAATGTCAAAAGTTTAGTTTGTAATGACAAAAAAAGTATACTGTAGATTTCCAAATGTAAATTAATTATTGCAGATTTCCCAATTTATGCCCAATTTTGTCAATCGGAATACAAATTTCCAGAATTTATCTTAAAAAACTTTTTCAAATGAGTAAAATAAAAATAGTGCAGAAATGGAAAATAATTGTTACAGATTTACAAATTGATGCCAAATTTTAAGAGAAGTTTAAAAAACTGTACTATAAAAATAGTGCCGTTTTCAAATGTCTAGTTTTTAAATGTTTGTTTCATTAAAAACTTAATTAAAAACGAACAACTGCACAATTTAAATGAATTTGAATTTTAAATGACTAAATGTTTAATCAAAATGAAAACTCTTGAATTTTATTATATATTTTTTAATATTCTTCTTATATTTTTGAATTGTATTATTATATATAACATTTACATTTATATTTAGTCATTTAGCAGACGCTTTTATCCAAAGCGACTTACAAATGAGGACAATAAAAGCAGTCAAAACTAACAAAACAGCAACAATATATAAGTGCAAATGACAAGTCTCGGTTAGCCTAGTCTGTGAAAGTGATTTTGTGCCTCTTTGAGATGGCACAATAATACGCCGTTCACTTGCAGAACGCAAGCTTCTAGAGGGCACATAACTCGGAAGTAATGAATTTAGGTAAATGTGTGCAGAACCAGTGGTGGTTTTGTAGGCAAACATTAATGCCTTGAATTTAATGCAAATTGATGAACAGAGGTATGACG